CTTACATGATACAGTAAGGTTTTTTTAGTTGAAGTTATGAGAGGCTGCCATGTGTCACCTATTTTTTTGTCATGTGTCTTTTAAATTTATTTATTCAAGAGAAAATGAAAATTATAAGTCCTTTTCTCTTTCTAATAACTTAGACAATTAATTCCAACAATTTAATAGTTAATTCTAATGTTAATTAATTATAATAAGTTATAATATATATTAGACATTGTCTTCTTCTTTTTTTGATAATGACAAAAAAATATGATTCCAAATTAAATGTGTTATTATAAAATTTTAATGGTTTGTAAAATAGATATTTTATTTATTGAACCCAACAATATGCTACATTAAAAATCTAAGATTTTAAAGTTTTTTCTCTAAACCTAATAACAAGTTAGTGCAATTAAAGTTTTTGTGAATTGAGAAAAAACTCTTTTTATTTTTATTATTCCTTACATACTGTAATCATGATGATAAAAACAAAATTTAATTCACCAATGAATCAATGTGAAAAATAAAAATCACAACAAAACAATCAAAAGAAAAACAAGAATACAATCAAGCAACAATTATTTTTTTTTACGATTCAAATTTCTTAAGAAATAAACATAGAGGCAAGGTGCACCTTGGGATTGAAATCGAGACATTCCAACATTATGTCCACACGATTTTTCTAAACGCAAGTTACAACTATGTTTGCCAACAATATTCAGTTCAATAAATTTCTTTACTAACGTGTTTGATGCAAGAAGAAATACCAAACATATTTTTTAACTTTACTTTACATTTGTATTATCTCACATAATATATGCATGTCTCCTACAAGTTTACGTCAATTCATATACAAATTTTTATTAATGAACGATATTTTTACATATAACATTATATCAATAATTTGTTACAAATGTTTTTTTCGAATCTAAATAATTATTTACTATAAACACCAAATGACTTTAATATTAAATTCACAAATAATCAATAAGTTGAAAACTATTGTATATTTTATCATGTTAATTTTTAAATCTACGCAATGTCGGACAATCCCTAGTTTTTC